CTCTCTAAGGTGTGGTACCCATTTTATCTACTCGCCGAAGCTTTCGAACCGCTGGGTAGACGGCGAGCTGGGGACAAGGCTGGCAGCTCACACCAGCGCGGGGCTAGAACTGACAGCAAGCCTGTTCAGCTCAGATGTTACTATTATAACCAGAGGATAAATCCTCTGTGCCACCGTTCCCCCTTTATGTTGAGTTTTAATTGTTAACTTTTGGGGGCTGTTTTATTTTTTATGCTGCCTTGGGTAAGTTCCCTGGAGAGGTGGCATGGAATTTTTAAAAGTAAATGAATAATAAATAAGTCAGTCTATTTTTTCGTTTCCTGTGCCATCCCTTTAGAAAGAAGAAGAAGCTCGATTACGAGAAGAACGGATCCGGTTAGAGCGTGAAAAGCATTTCCAAAGAGAAGAACAAGAGCGTTTAGAAAGGAAGAAGGTAACAGCAAATGTAATACATGATCCAGAGGAGGCTTGAATGCAAACAGGGCTTTTCCATTTCCATAGCTGACAGTGGCAGACCTGTGCTACTTACACTATTGTGAATAATTTTAACTTTTCTAAAATTTGAGCCCATTCAGATCACTGTAAGTGCCTATGAACTGGAATGGTTCCATTACAACCAGATGAAGATCACTTCCATTCTTTCTGTGACCCTTTTTATGTATTTCAAAATTATGATTTTTAGATTGATCAATGGCTTTCCTCCTCATTTACTTTATAGCGTCTTGAAGAGATTATGAAAAGAACTAGACGAACAGAAGCTACAGAGAAGGTACATTTTCAATTTCTTTCTCAGAGAAATGATTGGATTTTTTTTCCTCAATGCAGCATTTTAATGTTAACTTTATTTTACAGAAGTCAAATGAACAGCAAAATGGGGAGATAAAAGATGCAGGTATTTCTTTTGATTTCTACTTGGTTTAGCAGTGCAAGTCTTAATTGGTAGATTATTTCACTAAAGCTATAAATGATTAATTGGGGGGAGACCAGTTTAAATCACCATGGCAAAATATTCAGCTCTACACATTGGTAGGTATGCTATGAGAATCAATAATTCCAAATGTGATTAAGCTCCTAGCAGTCTTCTTCCATTTGTGACTTTAAAAAGAATCTTGAGATTAATTCTGAGCAAGGAGTGCAGAAACAAAGATTTATGGTAGATGGCCTTCTAAACCACAACATTAGTACCTGAAAATTGTATAGCTGTTTCTTTAAAGTTGAGGGAATTCAAGCAGGGCTCCTTAGATTTTGTCCCTGGAACGTGTCTTTATCCTGGCCTCACATTTGAATACCAGGCACCAAGGAAGAGAGCACATCTGAACATGAGCAGCATGCTGATCCTTTGCATAGGCAACTTTCATACATACATACATTCTGTGCACATGTCTAGATTTAAACAAATCTATTCTTTGTAGGAAAGGTTACATGGGAAACATTTCTTCCTCTTCCTTTTTTCCCCTCTGCCAGTGACCAGCCCTACATCTCCCTTAAGCCCTGTGATCGACTCTCAGGTTCAGTGTGTGCCAGAATCTCCACGCAATGGGGAAATGGTAACCCACACCCATGTGCTCATTTCACATCAGCCCACAGCAAATGTAGACAGGTGAGTGAGAGAATGCTGTTTGGGGGTGGATGTTGATTGAGAAATGTTAGGTAATTTCTTTTTTAATGCAAGTATATTAAATCAAATTATTTTCCTGTTTTTGTGTGTTTCAGTATGTTTTATCACTTACTCCACAGCTGCCTTTCAAATGCTCTAGATCGGGGTGTCAAACATAAGGCCTGGGGGCAGGAACTCTTATCCAGGGCTCTTATCCGGCCCGCAAGCAACTGGTGTGAGGGAGGGAACAGGAGGCTGCTGGGTGGGGGGATTATTGTAGCTTCAGCATGGCAGAACAACCTCATCTGCAGCAGTCAAGCAGAACCCCTTCACTTTCGTGGTAGCCTCACAGCCACACTCATGCTGGCTCAAGGTTCCAAGGTGAAGTTCCAAACTATGCAGCTCCAAGGATACTGTCCCAAATGGCCATGGGGATCAGAATTTGCACATAGGACACCTCTGCTGGTGTCCAGCACTGCTGCCGTTGGTGCAGACAATCCTCTGCTGGTGTCCAGCACTGCTGCCGTATTCGCAGCCCCCCATGCAGCAGCTGTGCTTTGGCCCATGAGGGGGCTGTTCTTCAGCAGTTTCTTCCACATATCAGGGGCCTAGTCCTGCCACCGAGCATGTGACTTGGCGGCTGGGCTCCCTCCCCTATGGGCACCTGGTGGCCATAGGCCGGTGCTGCCTTGGGGGGGGCAGTGCTGGCGATCTCCAATTATACTGGTTGCTGGGTGGCCTGGGGCCTTTGCCATATGTGCACATGGTGCCCACTCCCCCACCAGATGATCCAGTGGTGTTTAGTCTGGGGCAGCTGCCGCTGCATGGGAGTGTTGCAGCTCACTGATGATCTCTGGCTTGAACCCCCAGGATCGCCCTGACGTGGATCGCCTGGCAGCCTTGGCCAGAGGCAGCCATTGCCATGCAGGCATCACTGGCTTATCAGGCTTTACTTGGCCTGGGTCCCTCCATGCACATGGCCTTGAACCTGGGCCACCACTCCCCTGTTTCTACAGGTGGAGGGAATTAGTTCAATGTCTTCTTAGTCCCCTTTCATGGTGGCTCGGGGACAGGGGGAGCTCACAACCCCCCGTTGCTTCACGTATTTACCCTGGGGCCAGGACTCATAGCATTGATGGTGAGAGTGGGCTGGGGAAGGGGTTTGCTCCCCCTTCAGGCAGCACCCATAGGGCCTTGCAGTGAAGACACACCAACTTGGCGCTTACCAGCTGCTGTCTTTTATAAAGTTTGTATCTCTGGTACCTGGCATTACATTTTAGGGCCCCTATGGCCCAGCCCGACAAAGTCATATTTATGTCAGATCCAGCCCTCATAATTAATGAGTTTGACACCTCTAGATAGCATCTCTTGTGGGTTACGTTTGCTGTATAAGTGAAAGCATTTGTTGAAAGCAAGGTGCACTGCTTGGTAGCAAAGAGTACACTATTTAAAATTTAATGAGAAATTTAAAAGTCCTGTTCTCATTCTATATATCTCCGGTGGTTGTTAAGAAAAATAAAAGCTACTATAGATAATACATTACTAATGTCTGCTTTCCAGTGTTCAGAAAAGAGTGTTCTACTCTTTCTTGCAAGCTTCAGCCACTGTGTGAGACAAGATGCTGGACTAGATGGACCATTGGTCTGATCCAGCAGGGCTATTCTTACGTTCTTATCATAGTGTTAAAAAGGTTTTGAAAAAACTAGAGTCAGAGGTCAAAATAAATTACCTTTTGTGTATCAGGCACTCTTACACATGAAGATGCTTTCTTCATTGGGAGGCTGGGATTGGTGCTAGCTTCAAGAAACATATACTTTCTTTTTCTTAAGAAATTTTTATTTTTTGTAACAAATAAACAAAAACAAACAAACATAAATACATACAAGTGGGGGATTCCATTACATCCTTGTTATGTCTAATATGTTACCTCATACATTGTCTACTTGTATCTCATCCATTTTGACCACCATGTATTTTGTGTAAATATTTGCATCATATTTTAAAATATAGTTCATACTTTATTCTAATACAGTTATATGGCCATATTGTTTACTTATTCTAGTTTTCCAACCATTTGTAAAATCTTGACCATGTGTTTTCAAAGCTTCCTTCATCTTCTCCTCTCAAAATTAAAGTTAAATTATCCATCTCTGCAGTTTCAGGTATTTTGTTTATAATTTCTTCTTTTGAAGGAACTTCATTTTCCCTCCAATATTTAGCATATAAAATTCTTGCAGTAGTCAATACATGTATAATAAGGTTTAAAAAATGTTTTTATAGTTTTCAGGCTTTATACTCGTTCAGTGCATCGACACGGTTGACACCAAGAACTGCTCCCAGCTAAGACCGATTCTTCGTTCTTTTTAGGGGGGGTTCAGATGATTCCAAACCCCACTGGACCTCCTGGAGGGAGGTCTGGAGCTAGGGACTTGATTCGGGGGCCCCGCTTCAGGCAAAAAGCGGGTGGAAGCCCTGGATCGTCCCAGAAGCAGGGAACAGAGAAGAGCAGTTATGGCAGCCATAACAGCACCAGATGTAAACACCGCCAAAGCAAGAGAGTTATTTTGAGCCTCATCCAAAACATTGATGAAGACACGCGCCATAAGTACCTGTAACAGCAACATTGAAGAATCTGATGATTTCTTCGAATAAGCTCTTTTAAATCTCCAAAACGATACAGAAAGGAGAGGTGGAATTCCCCCCCCCTTTTCTGAGCAAAGTGGCCGGGACAAGATAAGAGTCACAAAAAGAATGTTGAGATAAACATTTCCTGGGGCAAAGAGGGTCTCTTGTTTGAGCTTCTACAAGAGAACTATGAACTTTTTTCTTAAAAAGAAAGAAAGAAAGATATACAGAGTGAAATTCACCATCTTGCAACAATTCTTTGCGACGTTACGCTTTACTGCTGAGAACAGAATAGAAGCGTGTAACGATTCCTTGTTTCTGTGTGTGTGTCTCTTTAAAAGTTTGGTTGCATGGTAAGTAGACTAGAGTGCTTGAGAGAAGCAAGCGTGGTATGATTGGTGATTGACAGAGAGGGGGAGGGGTTTTGGAAGTGATTCTGAGTGGATGAATATATATGTCTGTCAGGAGTGACAGTTACAGGTTTGACAGTTGATGAAGACAGTTGATAAGTTAGTTAGTACTGAGGTCTGTGAGAGAAGCAGTCTTGTGTGTGATATAAGAGTTAAGTTCTGTGTGAAGGAAGCTAGAAGCAGTTCTGTGTGTAAGCAGTTAAGAACAGCTGAGGTTGTTCTGAGAGAATAGGAAAAAGTAAATGAAAGTTCAATTGAAGACAAGTTATAGAAAGGTGTAGGTCCTGATAAACTGGAGAAAACAGTGAACTAATATGACCTTGAGTTAAAGTGTTACAAAGTTACCTGAAAGATCCCTGTCAGTAAGGGAGCATATTGTGTGCGATACACCAAGCAATGGTTCATTTATTACCCATTACTAGATACCTTGTTCTACCCTTTTATTTATGAATTATTTCAATAAATCCTCTTTTATTTAAGTATACCAGCTCGGAAAGAAATACTTCCTCAGTACTACATAGTTCCCCATAAGCCTTACACTCGACCTACCTACCCAGTAATAGCAAAAGTAAAGTATAAAGGTTTGGAAAACCTTAAATTTCCTGGTGGCAGCCGGATATACCCTAGTAGAACAAAATAAAGAACACTTTTAAAGGGAAACCAGTCCTCCCCATATAAGGGGTCATCACAAAGCGCACTATGTTTAGTCTTTACCATAAAGCTGCAGAACACTCAGCTTGTGTGAGAGATTGTTGACTGCTGAGGGGAGTATTATCTGGCAGAGGCAGGCAGCTTGAAAGAGACAGCTGATAAGCAACCTGTAGAGATGCTGGACTTTGCTAGACTGAACTGAGACTCTTGTCATTGTGTTGAAATGAGTGATCAGCACCCTCAGAAGAACATGCCAGATGATACAGATATGGAGAGCTCTGTAGAATCTGATAAGCTTCAAATATCTTGGGCGAAGATCCAGGCTGTGATTGTTGACTCAGTGAACCAGGCAGTCAAGGAGGTTTTTGAACGGATATTAGATCAAAAACCTTCAGCATTAAATCAAATCACTGGTAAGAACCGCCAGCACCAAACTGTGCAAGAAGCAGAACAACTCTACAATCAAGCTGACCCAAACTACAGTGAAAAGGAACTACAGTACCCAACTGTGCAAGACGCAGGGCAATTCTGTAATCAAGAGGAACTAATCTACTGTGAGAATCAAGCTGACTTCAGCAGTGAGAATAATGGCTCTACTAAAGGACTGCCAAATTCTGGAACCCTTAAAAGTGCAAGGAGGAAGTGCAGAGAGAAGATGAAACAAACCTAAACATTGAATATAGATGGCAAACCATGAAAGAAAGCCTTTCCATGTACAAGGAGGAGGCATAGATCCAAGACTTGACTAAAAAGAAGAAATTATAAGAAGAAGGGGGGGGGAAATTAAGATATAGGAATAAGACTGGTTTAGGGATTTTGTTATAAGATTGATTTAGAGAATCCCTATTTATGTTTGACTGGTTAAGATGTGCTATATATATTACAAATTTAGCCCACATTTAAAATACTTATGGGAAGATGAAAACTAGTCTCTTAAATAGTCTAACCAAAAAGAGTATGAATTGTATATTAAAAAATCCTGTCTAGGGAATATCCATGAATGTTTATTAGAATAAGATTGTGATATTGATAATTACATAGAATGTAAATTTATGGAGGTGTTAAGGTTTAAATTTTTTTTTATAAAAGATGTAATGCATTTAATTTTGGCTTAAGGATTCCAGAAGCCTTGACAACTTGTACAAAAACCATGAAAAAAGAATCTTATTATGATGTAGGGGAATGATATTTAAATGTATTTTGTAGAAGACTATTGTAGAATGCTTAGACAAAAAGGTAATCAGTAGAAAAAATGTTAACCTATTGAGTTGTAAAACTTAAAGACAGCTGTATAGAAAAATAGCAGTGGAATGTTTA